CCCGTGCCGAGGAAAATGCGCCTGTATAAATCATCTTCTTGAAGCCTCCAGAGGCCAGCGCGCCTGGTTGCGACCTCGCACACGGCCCTGGCTGGCCCAGAGAGCGACCATCCCAATTCCGAGAGAGCCAAACCTGGACGACGCCAGGGCGGGGCGCCCAGGAGAGCGCGCGCCCAGGCACTGTAGTTTTGTTGCAGTTTGCCCGGCGCCCCCTCAGCCACCGCCCAGAACCACCGGCCGAATCGGAGCGCACCTTCGACCTGGGACTCGAAGATGTGGGCTGCGACGGCGAGCGGCGCGACCCCCGCGGTGACGTGCCCTACCAGAGATGCACACTGCGCAGACGCCGCGCCCAGCCGGGCGTCCATGATCCGTTCGAGGTCGAGGTCTCCTGGCCACATCAGTCCGAGCCACTGGTGTGCGCTTTTGAAACCCAGCCTGACAGGAGTTCCTCCCTTGAGGGGCAGGGTGAGGGGCACGGCGGCTGCCCCCGCCCTCCTGGCAGAAGGTGATCCATGGACAACCACTGCGTGTTTGGAAGGCTTGGTGTGAGGAGAGGCCTTGTAGGTGAAGGCCCATTCCGCTAGCGTGTTCTGCGCGACTTGCGCTCCCCCCTGGTGGAGGACAGCAGGACAGGATCATCGGCATGCAGGACTGCCGCCAGGCGCAGCGGCGCGGCGGCGCCCAGCGCCGCCAGTGCGGAGGCTTCAAGCGTCAGGTCGCTGGCGAGGTCGGCGGCCGCGGGTAACTGCGAATCCTCCCGTAAAGCGCAAGTCAGCGCCCGCGTGGTCTCAGGATCTGGCGCGCCCGCCCCCTGCCACTGGTACCCCGTCCAGAGACGCGGCACGTGAACACCGACCCCCACGCCGCAGCCCGCGCGGTGCAGCGCCTCTGTTAGGGAATCCATGTGCACGGGAAAAGTGAGCGGCCCCACCGTCCCCCCTTCCGCAATCCCCTGGAGTATAACCACTGTGGCCACCCCATCGTAGTTCACATGGATGGAGGAGGAGGAGGAGGAGGAGGAGGAGGAGGAGGAGGAGGAGGAGGAGGAGGAGGCCAAAGGAGGAGGAGGAGGAAAAGGAGGAGGAGGAGGAGGAGGAGGGGAGGAGGAGGAGGAGGGAAGGGGCACTCGCTCTCTACGGCAGAGGCACAAGGGAGGAGGAGGAGGAGGAGGAGGAGGAGGAGGAGGAGCAAAGGAGAGGGGGAAGAAGGAGGAGGAGGAGGAGGAGGAGGAGGAAGAGAGGAGGCGGAGGAGGATGGGGTTACTCGCTCGCTACGGCAGAGGCAAGGGAGGAGGAGGAGGAGGAGGAGGAGGAGGAGAGGAGGAGGAGGAGGAGGGAGGAGGAGGAGGAGGAGGAAGGAGGAGGAGGAGGAGGAGGGAGGAGGAGGAGGAGGAGGAGGAGGAGGAGGAGGGGTGACTAGCTCTCTACGGCAGAGGCAAGGGGATGAGGATGAGGAGGAGGAGGAGGGAGGAGGAGGGAGGAGGAGGAGGAGGGGTACCTCGCTCTCCTTACGGCAGGAGCCAGGGAGGAGGAGGAGGGGAGGGGGGAGGAGGAGGAGGAGGAGGAGGAGGAGGAGGAAAGGGAGGAGGAGGAGGAGGAGGAGGAAAGGGAGGAGGAGAGGAGGAGGAGGAGGAGGTAGGTAGGTAGGTAGGTGGTGTTCCCATGGAGCTGGTGCGGGAGCTTCGGACGCGACTCCCTTTAGCATGGCACCACGGCCCCGGGGGCAGGCTCGGAAGTGTCCGTGCAGCGACGGCCCTGGAGGTCAATCCACCAGCACTGGAGGGGACGAGACGGGATCTGTCGAAGCTTTCCGCCCAGAGAGACAGGGAATACAGGGCCCCAGAGGGCCCGCCCCCAAGAGAAAAGGGCGAACCCAAAAACCAAGCCGAGGAGACCGCAACGACAGAATCACAATCTCCATCCCCTACCAGGTGCGGGGTGAGAGAGACAACTCAGGGGCTCCCCGCAGGGCGGGGGGGGGCCGGGCAGGGAGCTCCTGCCCGGGGCTCGTCCGATCCCTCCTGCCCTGCCTGGTCGACGCACGGCGCAGGTGCGGGACGGCGACAGGAAGGGGGAGAGGAAGCCACCCCAAAGGAGAGGAGGAGAAAAAACAGAAAGTAGGAGGACCCTGCACGACCCGACCCTCCCACCTGGCACCAGGCAGGAGGTAGGGAGGGCGGGTGTAGCTGTTCCCTGCGGCCGCCCAAAAGCGATCCGTCTCCCTGTCGACAAAGAGCGCCAGCAGGGCCGCCTGCGCATACCCTGCATCCGTCGGGCCTGCAGAGAGGATCGCTGCAGCCGCCGCCTCCGCTGAGGAGGGGGCTGGGCCTCCACGGGCCTCCCAGAAGGTGCGACGGGGGAGCTCCGTGCGAGAGCACAGCCCGAGGACGTGGAACGCGGGGCTCAGGGTCTGCATGCCGCACATTACGCAGGACTGCCTCCGCGCCGTAGAGACATTGCCAGAACAGTGGCTGAAGGCCACAAGCCGCCCTCGTAGTCTGCTCAGCGAGCGCTGACCCAATAGCACATCAAATGGTAGTTTTTGTTTCAGAGCCCGCGCAAGATCCTGCCTGGGGACCGGCCCAAATCTGAGGACCGGGAGCGGCCTCGTTTGGAGGCACAGCGCCTGCCTCAGCTCCGCCTCGCAGCGTTCAGCCAAGTGAGCTCGCACGAATATTTTGTACTGGCGCAGGAACTGACCGCTGCGCGCGGCCTCCCACGCAGGCCAATCAAGAATGGACCAGTGCTCGAGTAGAGCGAGCGACCGCTGTGCCCAGGATCGCACCCCCGTGCCGTGAGCTCTCAGGAAAATGCGCCTGTATAAATCATCTTCTTGAAGCCTCCAGAGGCCAGCGCGCCTGGTTGCGACCTCGCACACGGCCCTGGCTGGCCCAGAGAGCGACCATCCCAATTCCGAGAGAGCCAAACCTGGACGACGCCAGGGCGGGGCGCCCAGGAGAGCGCGCGCCCAGGCACTGTAGTTTTGTTGCAGTTTGCCCGGCGCCCCCTCAGCCACCGCCCAGAGCCACCGGCCGAATCGGAGCGCACCTTCGACCTGGGACTCGAAGATGTGGGCTGCGACGGCGAGCGGCACGACCCCCGCGGTGACGTGCCCTACCAGAGATGCACACTGCGCAGACGCCGCGCCCAGCCGGGCGTCCATGATCCGTTCGAGGTCGAGGTCTCCTGGCCACATCAGTCCGAACCACTGGTGTGCGTTTTTGAAACCCAGCCTGACAGGAGTTCCTCCCTTGAGGGGCAGGGTGAGGGGCACGGCGGCTGCCCCCGCCCTCCTGGCAGAAGGTGATCCATGGACAACCACTGCGTGTTTGGAGGGCTTGGTGTGAGGAGAGGCCTTGTAGGTGAATGCCCATTCCGCTAGCGTGTTCTGCGCGACTTGCGTTCCCCCCCTGGTGGAGGACAGCAGGACAGGATCATCGGCATGCAGGACTGCCGCCAGGCGCAGCGGCGCGGCGGCGCCCAGCGCCGCCAGTGCGGAGGCTTCAAGCGTCAGGTCGCTGGCGAGGTCGGCGGCCGCGGGTAACTGCGAATCCTCCCGTAAAGCGCAAGTCAGCGCCCGCGTGGTCTCAGGATCTGGCGCGCCCGCCCCCTGCCACTGGTACCCCGCCCAGAGACGCGGCACGTGAACACCGACCCCCACGCCGCAGCCCGCGCGGTGCAGCGCCTCTATTAGGGAATCCATGTACACGGGAAAAGTGAGCGGCCCCACCGTCCCCCCTTCCGCAATCCCCTGGAGTATAACCACTGTGGCCACCCCATTGTAGTTCACATGGATGGAGGAGGAGGAGGAGGAGGAGGAGGAGGAGGAGGAGGAGGAGGAGGGGTACTCGCTCTCTACGACTCTACGGCAGAGGCAAGGGAGGAGGAAGAGGAGGAGGCGGAGGAGGAGGAGGAGGAAGAGGAGCAAGCAGGAGAAGGGGGAGGGAAACAATAAAAAGGGGAATGAGCCGGGGCGAGGCGAGATCCACCGACCCTGCCGGCAAGCTTGAGAAGCTCAGCGAGAGCCTTGCAGAGTCCGGCACATCGGACCGTGGCTACGGTCGCCAGCCTGACCGAAGCGTTGCCAGGTCGCCAAGTGGAGCGCTCCACGGTCGACAGCCCGAGGGAACTCGCCGAGTCGCAATCACCTCGAAGGGAAGCCCCTTCCCTTGATCCGTTCCCCGCTCGCGAGCGGGGGCGCCCCCTGCTAAGTAAACGCCTGGGGTGGTGTCCCCAGGGGGAGTCCTAGGTCAGCATGCGCTCCCCCCTTCGTGGGCGTTATTTTCTTCGGCTGATTATCCATAGGTTCTTGCAAGATTTTGGACTTCGCGCCTTTCGGTCGTCCAAGGCTCCAAGACGGCCAAAAAGGCCCCCAAGATCTCCCTAAGACGACCCGAGGGGCCCCAATGAGGGCCCCACGACGGCCCAAGAGGGTCCCAAAATGGCTCAAGAGGCCCCCAGACGGCCCAAGAGAGGGAACACGATCTGACATTTCGAGCCTTCCACCCCAAGATGACCTCAGAGATCGCCTGCAGGCCCCCAGGAGGCCCTCGAGGAGCTCCCAAAGAACCCAGGAGGCCCCGAGAGGCCCTCCAGAGGTCACATGAGGCCCCAACAGGCCCACAAGAGGCCCCCAAGAGCCCTCCAAGAGACAGGACCCCTACATGCAGTCAAGAAGCCTCTGGTCCACCACCTAGACACGGTGGCGAGATGGGCCGAAGGCATCTAAAAAGAGGTGGCACGGTGCTCTGTCTGTCTCTGCTCCAATCTCGAGGTGCTCTCCAAGCCGTTCTGGGATAACTGTCGACCTGCCGTTGTGCACTGCTCGGCTCCCTCGCGGCCTTCCCGGGTTCTTCCTCATCCCCCTTCGTGGTCGGCGGAACCAGCAGCAATGCCTCGCCATGAGGCACCCTTCGACAGGTGGTACCAGGAGGAGAACGGCGACGAGGACGAGGGCGGCAATGGCGACGACCAGACTGAACAAGCCGCGCTCCCGGTGCTCCTGGCGGCCCACGACTCGGACTTCTGCCCGTTGATGGCCAGCACCTCGACCTCGAAGACGAGCGCGGCGTTTGGAGGTATCACGCCACCTGCGCGCCCTCGTCCGTTCCTCCATCTGCACACCTTGCCCTCCCCATCAGTCCATCCCTGCCTCCTCCTTCACACCTGTTCCCCCGTTCCCCTTGCCCTGCTGTCCCCGCGCTGACGCTCCCTGAGCCTCCGCCTCCGCCCCCCTCCCTTCGACTAAAGGACCGGCTACAGAATTGATTTATCCCCAAAATTACACGTTCTGGTTGAATCCACGGAAAGTGCGAAGAACGTTTGCAGATCTACGCGAATTCTGTGTATTCGTCTATAGATTCGACGTGACGTTTAACTTTGGGAGAAAGCAATTCTGTAGTCGATCCCCCACTCAAGCCCTTCATGCCTCCACTTCCCTTCCCCAGGCGTCTCCACTGCCCTCCGCCTCTCCTCGTCTCCCCCCCCCTTGCCTGCCCCTCCCGCCCCCCCTTTCCCGTGCCGCACATGCTCTCACACATCCCCCTGCTCCCCCTGCCCTCCTCCCCCTCCCCTGCCCCTACCTGCTCCTCCTGCTCCTCCTCCTCCTCCTCCTCCTCCTCCTCCTCCTCCTCCTCCTCCTCCTCCTCCTGCCCCCTCCACAATTACTCAATATGAATACTACTCTCCCTCTTCCCTGATGACGTCTTGGGAATATTCCCCCCCCCTCCCCCCCCCGCGTACCTTTTTTTACACACAGGTTTCCCCGGAGTTTGGTTTTCGCTTGTATTTGTTTCCAAAATGCTGCTCTCGCTGAGGCGCCGGCATCATTTTCGGGCCCCGCTCGTTCCGAATCGTGCTCCCGCTTCAGCGCTGGCATCACTTCCGCCGGCGCCCGGGTTGCACGCCCGAGCCGGCGCCCGGGCCGGCGCTCGGGCCGGGTCCGGAGCCGGTTCCGGCTGGCGCCGGAAAATCGAGTTCCGAGGCGGCGCCGAAAAAAGGCCATTTCTGCTTCCGGCGCCCGGGAGGCCGGGCCGATTCCGACGCCCAGGCCGGCGCCCGAGCCGGCGCCCGGGCCGGACGCCCGAGCCGGCGCCCAGGCCGGCGCCCGGGCCGGGTCCGGAGCCGGTTCCGGCCGGCGCCGGAAAATCGAGTTCGGCGCCGAAAAAATGCCATTCCAATACAATTGTGTCTTTTGAAAATGCTGAGTTTCTGCTTCTGGCGCCCGGGAAGCCTTCCCCGGAGTTAGGCTTTCGCATGCAATTTTTCCCAAAATGCTGCTCTCGCTGAGGCGCCGGCCTCATTTTCGGGCCCCGCTCGTTCCGAATCGTGCTCCCGCTGCAGCGCTGGCCTCATTTCCGTGCTTCCGCTCGTTCCGAATTGTGCTCCCGCTGCAGCGCTGGCCTCATTTCCGCGCTTCCGCTCGTTTCGACTCGTGCTCCCGCTGCAGCGCTGGCGTCATTTCCCGTGCCATGCCACGGCATGCAATGCAATGCTAGGTTGATACTACGCTTCGCGGTGCTCTTCTACGCCATGCCATGCCGTGCTCTACAATGCATCGCGTACCCTTTCGGGATCATCGCCCTGCTTGACATCCGACTGTGCGAGTAGAGAGGGGATCTGCGCCATGGTAAGGGATGGGAGGGAGGGGTAGGATGTCAGATATGACGCGAGCGCACCTAGCTTGCCTCCTCCCCCTCCCCTCCTCCCCCTCCCCTCCCCCTACCCCTCCCCTCGTCCCCTTCCCCTTCCTTCCGTCCCCATCCTCTCCCCTCCTCCTCTCTTTCCCCTGCCCTACCCCGTGAGCCTCTAGGGAGCAACCCCCTCCTTCCCTCCTTCTCCCGTCGCCCCTTCCCCTTCTCCAATAACGCCCATCTTCCTCTCCCCCCTGCCTCCCCCCACCCCTACCTCCACCCCCAGATCGGATCATTCTCATCCCCCCTCATGATCCACCCTTCCCCCTCCCCAACACCACATCATCCCCATCCACTCCTCCCCCAATCCCCCGTTCCCGCCATCCCTCCCTCGCCACTTATACCCCATGCCTTTTTTGCCCTCCGCTGCCCTGCACCCCTCCCCATAATGCCCACTCCCTGTTCTTCCTGCTCCCTCCCCCTTGACGTGCCCAGCCCGATTCTCTTGACCCCTCCTGTTTGTCCCTCCTCCCCCCCCTCCCCCAGCTTGCCTCCAGTCCTCCGCCCCTGCTGGGCAGGGGGTGAGCGGGGTGGCGCGGAGCCGCGGGGCAAGCCTCCGATGGGGAAGGGCGATCTGCGCTGCCCGCCCCGTCGTCAGGGCATCCCGCGCCCCCCGCGGGGCCCGCTGCGCCGCTGGATGCTGGGCCGTGGCGGCGGCACTGCCCAGACTTGGGCACGGCGCCCGTCGTGCTCCCAGCGAGCGGCATCTGCGAGCCCATGTTGGCGGCGAGCGCCGGGGGGGGGGGGGGGAGAAGGGGCGGGCCTTCTCGGCAGGCCCGGAGGTCCCCCCGGCCTGCCGAGAAGGTGTCTCCGCCCTCCCCGAGGCCACAGAGCACTTCTCAGCAGGAGCGAGGGCTTCTGGGAGATCCCGCCGCCTTCTGAGAAGGCTTCTCCTTCTCATGTCCCCCCCTCGCTCGCCGCCGTCTGTGAGCCGCTGGAATTTGACAAGTCGCTTGCTGAAACAAACCTCCCAACCGGCCCCTGAAGCCTGTTTCTATCTCCGCCCCTGCCTCCTCCTCCTCCTCCCCACGCCCGCGCTGGGGGGGGGGGGGGGGGGGGAAACTCGCCGACGGGGCATTGAGTCACTGGCGGCAAGGCCCCATACCTCTACCGTTGCGCAAATTCCGTGGTCGGCGCTCGCGCTTCCAATAGAATCACTAGAAGAAAAAACTGCATCAATATAAGCTTTTGGCGCTCCGCGCGGATTTCTTGGATCTGTTCTGTACCCCCTCCCTGGCACGCGGAGCGCGCTAGGGGCGGCGCCGGAGGCGCCGCCAGGAGGACCAGCGCAGATCCAAGAAACCCGCGCGGAGCGCAAACAATTTATGCTTATGGCGCTTTTCCTCCTCCACTCCAAGTCCTCTGGCCCCAGCCACAGCGAAGGTCGGGTCGGGCGAAAGGGGGGGATAGCAAAGGGGGGGGGTGAGAATCAGCTCACTTAGCTGATTCTCCCGGCGCGGCTATGTGTCGAGGAATGGGCCCCTCAGTGAGGCCGAAACCAGCTGCATGCAGCAATTTTCGTACCCCCCCCTTTCCCAATCGCCCCCTTTCGTCCTGCCCGAGCAGTGCAGAGCGTCGTCCGTTCCTTGAGCGTGGTTCCCTCACTTGCTTGGACGCCCGAGTTATCCGGGGTAACTCGGGTCCGGGGTAACTCGGGTTTGGATTCCCGAAAAACGAACCCGAGTTATCCCCGACCCGAGTTACCCCTGATGATTCGGGGCTCTGGACGCCCGAGTTATCCGGGGTAACTCGGGTCCGGGTAACTCGGGTTTGGATTCCCGAAAAACGAACCCGAATTTCCCTGACCCGAGTTACCCCTGATGATTCGGGGCTCTGGACGCCCGAGTTATCCGGGGTAACTCGGGTCCGGGGTAACTCGGGTTTGGATTCCCGAAAAAACGAACCCGAGTTATCCCTGACCCGAGTTACCCCTGATGATTCGGGGTCTGGACGCCCCGAGTTATCCGGGGGTAACTCGGGTCCGGGTAACTCGGGTTTGGATTCCCGAAAAACGAAACCGAGTTATCCCCGACCCGAGTTACCCCTGATGATTCGGGGCTCTGGACGCCCGAGTTATCCGGGGTAACTCGGGTCCGGGGTAACTCGGGTTTGGATTCCCGAAAAACGAACCCGAGTTATCCCCGACCCGAGTTACCCCTGATGATTCGGGGCTCTGGA